CTTCTTCGACCAATTCTCAGATGTTTGCTGATATAGTCTGGCTTTTAAGCCCAAATTCTTCTTGTTATTCCATTATTTTACTTGCATCATGTGTTTCTTACTTGTTTATGCTGCATGCTCTCCCTACCCCCTCTCTTCCGTTCTCCCTGGAACCCACTCCCATCAGCTCCCTCTGCAGGCAGGCATCTCTCACCCAGGGTACAGATAACCTCCAGATCAGCGAAGCCAACCTTGGGCTTCGGATGTTCATTCTTGCAATCGTCCGATCGTTCAGCAGTGTTTGACCATGTCAGTCACTTTCACCTTAAAATATATCTTTGCCTACCTAATAATACTAATTTCTCAACCTTATTACTTGGTCAGTGTTTATGTTCCTAGTTGTCTCAAAAATGTGATTTTTTTACTCTTTGTTCGAATCAAGGTCTTGAAGCCATTCTTTGACTCTCCCCTTTTATTCCTGCCCACAGCCAGTCTGTCTGTGAATCCTGTCAGTTCTTCCTTCAAATTATGGTCCAAATCTGACCACTTCTCAGCACCTCCACTGTTACCCCACTGGGCCAGTCCACCCGGACTATTGCAGTGATGTTCAAACCGGTTCCCTCATCCTCTCCTTTGTCAGTCTGCTCTTCACAGGAACCTCGGCGATCAGGTTACAAGATAAGTCCTATCACATCATTCTTCTGTTCAGAGCTACTGGCCTCCTAACTTGCTCCATTGAAAGCCAAAATTATAATAGCCCGTGTATCAGCTTGTCTGCTGTTGCATAACAAATGATGCCAAAATTTAGCAGCTCAAAACTACAAACACTTATTATCTTAGCATTTCTGGGAGTCAGGGACCTGGGTGAGGCTTAGCTGGGTGCGCTGGCTGGAGCTCTCTCACGCAGGCTGCAATGTTGTTGAGGCTGTGGTCTCATCTGGAGGTTCAACAAACAGAGGAAGTGCTTCTACATCTACTCACAGGGTCCTTTGCAGGATTCAGGCCTCCTAGGTCGCTGGCCAGAGGTCTGTCTCACTTCCTTGTCCTGAGGGCATCTCTGTAGGTCGCCCACGATGTGTTAGTCGACTTGCATCAGAACAAGAGAGGGTAAGCAAGATGGAAGCTGGAATGCTTTTTGGAACTTGAATTTGGAAGTGCTATCCCACCATGTTCCCCATATATTCTGTGTGTTAGGAGCAAGTCACTAGCTCCGGCCTGCACTCTAGGAGAAGCAGTTCAGGCCATGCGTACCAGGCCTGCAGAGTCACTGAGAGTCAGCCTGCCCCAACCTAGGGTCCCACATGATCTGACCCCCAGTCACCCTCTAACCTCAGCTCCTCCTATTCCCACAGTTGCCCCTCAACCTCAGCCACACTGATGTATGGTTGTTCCATCAACACACTAAGCTCGCTCCTTTCACAGGGCCTTTGCACCTGCTCTGCCTTCTCTTTGGGACAAGTTTCATTCAGGTATCCTCACCACAGGCTCCATCATCTCTCTCAGGTCTGTGTCCAAATATTTTCTCAGGAAGACTTTCCTAGTCACCTTATAGAAAATAGAAAATCTTCCTCTCCCACATGCCCAGCACTCTCTATCCCTCACACCTGCTTTCTCACCAGCAGATATAGTTTTTCTTTGTCTTCTCCCTCTGCCAGATGTTAGGTTCCATGGGGCATTTCTGTTTCTTATTCTCTCCTTCATCTCTGATACTAGAAAATTGCCTGGCATGCAGCGGGTACTTGGGAATCTGTCACATTATGGACTTTGCATTATTGACTTTGCATTGTTTTGTAACCATATTAGCAAAATCACTGAGACTTTGACTTGACCTTAATTTAGTGTTTATCACTGGAACCTTAGTGGAATGATTTCTGCATTTCTAAGCCCTTCTCACACGCTTATTCCCCCTTCCCTTTCCTCTTGCTTCCTATAATTCATTTATTGACCAATTAAATAGTATCTTGAGGGTTTTTTTGAGTTGTTATCTTCAAAATCAGTGTGTAGATACACTTCCAGAGCCCTTGCCTATCTGAGAATATCTGAGAATTGCAGTCTCACTGTTCTTCCTTGTATAGTTTTGTTTTTGTTTGGTTTCTAGATTTTAGAATTTCTAATTCTTCAAATCTGAAAATGTTACCAGAATCTATTTGTATCATTTACTCGTTCTTCTCTAATTTATGCTGATTTAGACTTATATGTGCCAGTCAGTAAGCTAGATTAAATTTTGATTTGTTTTTCATTAATCTCTTACCATAAGTCTTCATTGATCTCCAGAACTTGCGCTTTTCTTTAGCTCAGAAAAGACACCTTCTCAGACATTTTTTCCTTCTGTTCTAGATGTTTTACTCTTTCTATTGAGAAAGCCAATTATGCATAGGTTGGTTCTTTACTATTGCTCCTTCATTTCTATCATCTTCCGTTGTTTCCATCTTCTTTTTTTCCTTTTATTCTGTATTCCTGGAGTGACTGTTCCCTATCATGCCTCTGTATGACTGATTCAATCTGCTGCAGTGTTTTGGTACCTCTGATGATGACTGTGGTAGATCATATTTGCTCTCACTTATTTACATTAGCTAGTATTATTGGTCAGTATTGTGTTATTATTTTGTGATTGTCTTCAGTGGTGCACGTCCCTGCCCTTTGCCATGCCCTTCCTACTGGAGTGGTGTGCATCTGTGCCTCCCGAACTCTGAACTTTACCATATGACATGCGTTTGCCAACGGAACGTGAGTGGGGACTGTGTACTCCAGATCCAGCCAGAGACTAGGATAGGTGTGGAAACAGATCTTTCAAGCTTCTGCATCTTGAGGGCAGGACTGCCTTTCTCCTTTTCTTCTTTAAGTATCATGTAGGTGACTTCAGACTAGGTTTCCTTAATTTTAATCACTGTGAAAATATGGGATATTTGCCAGCAAACAGGTGAATGGCTTCTCTTTGACTTCTGTTTACTGTTGACTTAACGTATTCCTTGGAGAGTAAGAGGAAAGGCTGGTTGGTAAACTCTGCCCCCAAACAGATGCCCAGGGTCTGGATGTCGTCCATTGAGGGTGGCATAGCAGGACTGGTAAGGAATGCCACCTCCTGCTGCTGGCTGGCCTGACTACTTAACCTACGTAAAAAACAACATGTCTGCTGTTTTCATTCTTCAGAAACAGTAGATAAAAAGTGTGGCCCCTAGATTGTGCTTATCTTACTGTTCTTCCTTCCTTTTATGCCCCTGTCATGTAGGCTCCATTGTTGACTCTTCATCGCTAGTGAGTGGAGACAGCAGGGTCTTAATGGCAGGTGTTGTAGGAGTTCAGTGACCTCAGACACCCACATAGGAGGTTTTCCTCTGGATTCTGAAGCTTCCTGCTTCAGGGGAAGGAACCCCAGCATGACGCTGGGGGGTCAGGTAGGCTATTACTCTATCCTCCTCGTCCGTCTGATGGATCGTGGACTTTCCTCCTGGAAACTTGGATATCATTGACCAGTATTCCCCATTTCCAGGAGCCTCATAACTTTTATCTTATGCGTATTCATGAGTATTTCAACAGGAAATGCTACTTATTAGCCAGCATCTAGTTTTATCGTGTTCTCAAGTAGCTGCAAGAGAGAGTGGCTGAGTTCCTGCCTCTCTCATTCTACAACCACCTTTTCCAGCCTAGCAGAGTCATGGGTGATAGAAGGACCTCATTTCCCCATTTTTCCAGTGGCGCCTTCACTTGGCTTCCTGGGTGTTGGTGGGACTGCAGCTCTGGCAGTGATATGCTGGTTAGTGATTGGGTTTCTTGTCTCTGCCATGTTTTTGAGTGCTGGCAGTGCCAGGAAAGGATCCCAGCTCTGACTTCTTCAAACCTGTTGTATCCCAAAAAGTGCCCAGGTTTTGGCCTTTGGAAGACCTGCTTCCAGATTCCAACTCCCTGTTTTCTACAGATGTAACCCAAATGCTGATCATTTCTTTATCTGCAATATGGCAGTAAAATGCCCACATGTTTTGGTCAACATGAGGCTTAGAGAAAATGAAGACACTGTTTTTAGAAAACAGCTGGCACAAAATTGGGCACTCAATAAATGTTCATGGTGATGCTATTTTTGTCTTTCTCCAGATAATTAATGTAATGATACTGTAATCTTGATATCATGGTTCACACAGAATGAATGAAGAATGGTGGAGGCTGGGTTGTGTTTTCCAGGCTAAACCTATGGTCCTGCAGCTCCATTCATCAGGCCCGCAATTAATTACCTGTGTGACTTTGGAAAAGTTCCTTCCCTTTTCCATGCTTCTATTTCCCATTTGTAAAATAAAGACATGGAACTATATCAGAGTAGCAAATAGGTTTAATCTCATATGTCAACTCTAGTTGATCAGTATTGAGTATTTAAACAGATTTAAAAGGATTCTGAGGGCTTGGCCGGGTTCAGTGGCTAAGTTCGCCATGATCGATTAGCAGTGTCCAAAGTGGGTAGATATGTAGCCGCAGCTATGCCGAAATTTGCCAGGCCTCCCCAAAATGCTCTCCCAGGACCTTCCCAGCCCACCCCACCGTCCTTTGGTTCTTCTCTGGGACTTCTGGATGGGCCTTTGTAACTGGGTGACATCCTATCTATCCGAGTGAAGATTCAGTACCATCAGGGTGAAAAGTAGATGTGGACATTCCAACCAAGACTCTGAAGGGACAGGGGTAAATCACAAAGGTCCTTCTCCAGATAGGGTGAGGGTTTCTCTGGGACCTCAGTGTCATTTGAAAACTGAAAGAAATAAATCACTTTCATCAAAAGGGAGCTGGGATAGCTCCCTGAACTTGCGCACAGAAACCACAGCCTAGTGATGCCGTGAGGGGTCTGAATTTCATTTGCTGGTAGGTATCTGTCTAATATAATTTAGCAATTGACACACTGGTGGTTTGGCCAAACTCGAAGCAGCTATTTCCCAATCTGCTATAGAAAGTTATAGGTTTCTAAAATTGTACAATTATAGTAAGGTGCGCTACAGATAGATTATTTTAGAAATTGATTTGGCAACTTCCTTTGATATTTAGGATCTGAGACAAGAGTATCTTGTTTCTGGAACAACTCCGTTTACCTGCATAACAAGATTTGATTTTTATGACCCTTCAGGAGGAAGTGGTGTGAATCACTTCTCAGTCTTCCATTTTTTGTAAGGAAAAACAAAACACCCAGTTGTCCATTGGTACCTTATCATCTTAAGCACAAGATTTTTCTGGGTCAGGGATGTTTGCCTTAATTTTAAAAGCTTTGCAGGTATACTTCTGACACTAGGTCCTCTTTCACTACAATCCCTGTGGCCAGTACCTTCTTCATTCTTTATACACCTCACTTCAGACAGTGTGGCACCTGTTAGGCCCTGCTATTGTGAATGTGTGATCTCTGGCAAAGCAAAAATCATCAGTCTAAAGTCACACTGTTCCACTAAATGTGATGAAAAAGCTCTATTTCAGATGGTTTTCTCAGAAACAATCAATACTAAGTGTGATTTTTGTTCACAGTGTACCCTCGGCCAGGCTCTATGACCGAAGGGCGTTTTTAGGGGGGAATCTATGAATAGGACAGCAGCAGTAAACAGCTGAAAATAATCTATGAGGCATCTGCAAATTACCCCTCATGAGCTATAATGGTTGCGCAAGATAATTTGTGGTTCTCACAGAATACCCTGCAAATTGGGTCTTTCATCTGCAATGTTTTTTACAGTTAAAACATTTCATTTCTCTTATTAACAAATGATAACTCCGCATCTGTTAATCTAAACAATTTGATTTATATTTTTATGTTCTGAGAGGCTGTTGACATTTCAGGGTAATTATTTTCATTGCCAACTGCTGTTGGTGGTAACTGTAGGCAAAAGATAGAAATGTGAATATATGGATGCCTTACTTTAATCATTTCCCCTAAAGATTTCCTAAAGCAGGAATCTATTTGCCTGAGTTACCATCTACTCTAAGAAATCTAACAGGACATGGGGGTGGACAGGTTAGGATGCTAGCCAAGTTCAGGGTTTTTGTGGTATGTTGGGTGCTCAGTCATGTTGTCACTGTGGGCGGGAGTGCAGGGGTGACCTGCTGTGTCACCGACCTCTGGCAGAGAGCACGGTGCATTACGGTCTCGAATCATGGCAGTGAGAGAGGCATGCGTTATTGGCCCATAGTTCCCAGCTTATGTAATGTCTGTTCAAGTATTGCCCGGATTACATGAAGAGCGCTCGCGAGAACGCCTCTCACTGTGCCTGGTACATAGTGCGAGCTTTGGAAACACTTGGTGCGGTGGGGACAACGCATAAAAACATCTTCTAAATTTCCTTTCCTGTATGGCTTTCTTGGCTGAGAACTCACAGTCCAGGACAAGGGAAAGAGAGACTTTCTCACCTGGAAGGTAGTTATTACATCCTTAGACCAGATGCCCAGCTTCTCCTGCTGAGGTGGAATAGGAGACGAAGCAGAAAGGAGACTGGGGTGCTGGGATGGAGCTGATGTCACAGCTGGGTTTCTCTAGCATCGCCTTCTGCTCTTAAAATTCATACTTATTTTTCAGTCTGCTCTTTAGCTTATCCAGGTGTATTTAAATATTCAGGAAAAAAATTAACATCAAAACTTACATTTTTTTCCTCCAGAAAAACCATTTTGGCAAAATTGCGGCTCCAAAAAGATGGCCCGTCTTGTTTAGCCTGCGGATGTGCAGAGGGCTCACACTAGTTGTGAAGACGGTGGGCAGGTGTAGCTGGCCTCTGGGGTGACAAGGAGCACACCAGTGTGTGTGTCCTGCGAGGTGGGCTGTGACAGGCTCATCAGTCCACTTCCCCCAGCCTCTGTACGCCATGGGCCACTTCAGACAGGGAGGCAGTACTCCTGCATGTGTGGACCCCATTCATATTCCAGGTTAGGGAATGGACTACTGACTCGGGATACAAACCAAGTTTTACATGGCCTGAAGGAGTGAGCGTAGATCCAGTATCCTGAATGGCAAACGTATTTTATCCTTTGAACCAATTCCAATTGATTAGTTCTGGTTGCCGACAGTGCTGTCTTAAGAAGACATCTGTGTTGCATTAGGGCTCAGCTGGGAGGGTGCTGGGATTGATTAGCGATGTCTGTCAAGGCCTCTGGAGGGGCAGCTTGCCCTGTATTTGCCATTCTCTGCTTTTGACATATCCTTAACTTCTCTTTGTGAAATAATTTTAATACAAACAGGTGTCTCTAGGTACGAGATGTGGCATCATGACGGAGAGCAGGTAGATTCAACTTTAAGAAAGCCTAGCATGAGAAATGCAAATTTCCAAAATGCACAAATCTGGAGCCAATTATTGCCGTTACAGAAAGATTCCATGAAAGGTTCCTTTAAATAGCGGGCTCCCCTGCTGCATTCAAATGATGATTCAATTTACAAAAATTCACTTTGCATGCAACTCCTCAGGACCGTGTCTGTAGAGTAAAGCAAGCCACACCTGATTTTTTTAAACCATGGCCTAAATAATGTTCAGGTTGGCTGCTGCCACGTATCTCGAGTCTCTTGACAATTCCCACTCTCTTCAGACTTCCTTCTTACTTCCTATCCCAGAGTGTTGAGTAGACAGTCTGGGTGGTGGTCAACAGCTGTTGGCTTCCATTCTGCTACGGCTGCATTTCATTAGTGGGTAAACTGATTGCTCTGCATATGTTTATGTGTGGGTGTGGTTGTACAAGTCTGTGCCCTCTTGTATGTAGATATATTATGTATGTAGATACAGATACACACAAGCCATTATCTCACTCTCAGCCCACCCTAAATTCATTCCTGCTGTGAGAGTTATAAATGGAAGGTTCCAGTCACTTGGTGGATACAGCCTTTTGGCCCCGGATTCCAGCTTCCCTTCCTCTTTGTGTTTGTTTATATGTTATTTACCTTCGCATCAGAAAACTTCCCCAGACCCTGGGCCTGTGTCCCATTATTCAGACACAGAACCCCTCTTCCTCTGTGGCCTAGAAAGCCCCAAATGGTTTTCTGATTTAGAAAATTAAATATAATCTGACTCTTGTGGGCAAGCTACACAATTCCCAACCAACAGATGCTCCCATTAAATATATAATCTACAGAACTTCTAAAAGTCTCAGAGATCTAGCATGAACTTGAATTATAGAGGCATCCAGTGCCCCTCGGGTGAGATCGCTAGCTTCTTCCCAGGCACTCACAATCGGGCGGTTTTCCGGTGGACCGTAAAGCTGCCAGGAATGCTGACTGGCACACGCATTCGGATCTCTGTTGCCCTGTAAAAGCAGCTTAGTGCAGAGAGGATTACCTGAAAGAGATGCCATCTGCCCTTGGTCATGCAGCTTTCCTCCACGTGGGGTAATTAACTCCTCAGGAAGAGCACAGGTATCATCTCTATTTCATGTATGGCATTTTTTAAATCGCAACATAAATTTGTTCCCAGAAATATATTTCTGCAGACATATTTTTTTCTTTCTTTGAGAAGCAAAATGAGGCAGTAAAGAGTGAGTGTGCATCAGCCTTACTCAGGTGCATTCCTCAGGCCTAAAACGATTGTTTCTTTTTGAGACGAAAGCCCTCAGGCTTCTGAGCTGTCACACAGATCTTTGCCTTCTGTCTTTGCAGGCTCACTGGTTTGGGCCGTGGGCCGTCCGTGCCCCTGGGCTGTAACGGCCGCATAGGTGCAGCCGTAGATGGCAGCCGCCACCATCATGAGACACACGACCCCGCACACGACCCCGGTGATGATGACGGTGGCCACGGCATGCCGCAGATTGGCCGGCCTGGGCTTGGGCTTGGGCTCACACTGTGCATGGTCTCGGTCCCCTGCCCCGTGGTTCTCAGGAGGCCTGGGGACAGCCGAGCGGGTGGAACCTAGCCCCCCCCTCTGCGAGGACTCCAGGTCCGCAGAAGGAAGTGGGCAGGGCTGGTACAGCTCGTGAGGGATTCTCAGGAGGTCCTCTCCCTTCCAGGCATCCGGCAATGCACAGATGACACTGTCCACTATTCCCCCTTTAAGACACAAAAGCAAAGGGTGATAATAGAGCCTGATACAACTGAATTGCAAAATCCTCAGCCTGCAAAACTTAGGCAGATGGCACTTATACAGCACTTTTTTTTTTTAACCCCTGGAGTCCAAGAACTTAACCGTGTTGTATGATTTTAGGATTTGTAAATTGGCTGAAAGCTGAAAAAGCCCTACACAAAATTGGTGATTATGTGCAATTGAGAATTCATTAGAAGCCAAGTCACCTTTCCCTTATAAATGCTAAGGGAAAAGCAATGCATATGCCCACAGGAAGGGCCGCCAGAGGCCAATCTAAGGACACTGCCACTGACAACATTCCTGACACTCATACCCCTAGAAACCCCGCACGCGGGCATCTACTGTACCAAATCCCCAGAGGAAGTCTACGTGAATAAATAAATCACATGTCCTTTCTTTCAGGGGTACGTGTTCATTTCAAAGACCCTATATGTCCCCTATACTCTTCAGTGCAGCCAAATAGGGAGGTCGGTGCACTTTTGAGAGTTCTGTGTATCTGAAGATTCAACAATAATAGTAGTTTACTTTATGGAATAAAGTATAATTGGTGTGTCTCCTCAGGCCTCAAAACATTTAGCACTTTGAGTATCAAACAGGGTTATTAGACCCTGTTTCTGTTCTCTGTAAGGTGATTGGTATCCTCAGGTATGTAGACTTGTGGAGGTGGGGACAACGCATAAAAACATCTTCTAAATTTCCTTTCCTGTATGGCTTTCTTGGCTGAGAACTCACAGTCCAGGACAAGGGAAAGAGAGACTTTCTCACCTGGAAGGTAGTTATTACATCCTTAGACCAGATGCCCAGCTTCTCCTGCTGAGGTGGAATAGGAGACGAAGCAGAAAGGAGACTGGGGTGCTGGGATGGAGCTGATGTCACAGCTGGGTTTCTCTAGCATCGCCTTCTGCTCTTAAAATTCATACTTATTTTTCAGTCTGCTCTTTAGCTTATCCAGGTGTATTTAAATATTCAGGAAAAAAATTAACATCAAAACTTACATTTTTTTCCTCCAGAAAAACCATTTGGCAAAATTGCGGCTCCAAAAAGATGGCCCGTCTTGTTTAGCCTGCGGATGTGCAGAGGGCTCACGCTAGTTGTGAAGACGGTGGGCAGGTGTAGCTGGCCTCTGGGGTGACAAGGAGCACACCAGTGTGTGTGTCCTGAGAGGTGGGCTGTGACAGGCTCATCAGTCCACTTCCCCCAGCCTCTGTACGCCATGGGCCACTTCAGACAGGGAGGCAGTACTCCTGCATGTGTGGACCCCATTCATATTCCAGGTTAGGGAATGGACTACTGACTCGGGATACAAACCAAGTTTTACATGGCCTGAAGGAGTGAGCGTAGATCCAGTATCCTGAATGGCAAACGTATTTTATCCTTTGAACCAATTCCAATTGATTAGTTCTGGTTGCCGACAGTGCTGTCTTAAGAAGACATCTGTGTTGCATTAGGGCTCAGCTGGGAGGGTGCTGGGATTGATTAGCGATGTCTGTCAAGGCCTCTGGAGGGGCAGCTTGCCCTGTATTTGCCATTCTCTGCTTTTGACATATCCTTAACTTCTCTTTGTGAAATAATTTTAATACAAACAGGTGTCTCTAGGTACGAGATGTGGCATCATGACGGAGAGCAGGTAGATTCAACTTTAAGAAAGCCTAGCATGAGAAATGCAAATTTCCAAAATGCACAAATCTGGAGCCAATTATTGCCGTTACAGAAAGATTCCATGAAAGGTTCCTTTAAATAGCGGGCTCCCCTGCTGCATTCAAATGATGATTCAATTTACAAAAATTCACTTTGCATGCAACTCCTCAGGACCGTGTCTGTAGAGTAAAGCAAGCCACACCTGATTTTTTTAAACCATGGCCTAAATAATGTTCAGGTTGGCTGCTGCCACGTATCTCGAGTCTCTTGACAATTCCCACTCTCTTCAGACTTCCTTCTTACTTCCTATCCCAGAGTGTTGAGTAGACAGTCTGGGTGGTGGTCAACAGCTGTTGGCTTCCATTCTGCTACGGCTGCATTTCATTAGTGGGTAAACTGATTGCTCTGCATATGTTTATGTGTGGGTGTGGTTGTACAAGTCTGTGCCCTCTTGTATGTAGATATATTATGTATGTAGATACAGATACACACAAGCCATTATCTCACTCTCAGCCCACCCTAAATTCATTCCTGCTGTGAGAGTTATAAATGGAAGGTTCCAGTCACTTGGTGGATACAGCCTTTTGGCCCCGGATTCCAGCTTCCCTTCCTCTTTGTGTTTGTTTATATGTTATTTACCTTCGCATCAGAAAACTTCCCCAGACCCTGGGCCTGTGTCCCATTATTCAGACACAGAACCCCTCTTCCTCTGTGGCCTAGAAAGCCCCAAATGGTTTTCTGATTTAGAAAATTAAATATAATCTGACTCTTGTGGGCAAGCTACACAATTCCCAACCAACAGATGCTCCCATTAAATATATAATCTACAGAACTTCTAAAAGTCTCAGAGATCTAGCATGAACTTGAATTATAGAGGCATCCAGTGCCCCTCGGGTGAGATCGCTAGCTTCTTCCCAGGCACTCACAATCGGGCGGTTTTCCAGTGGACCATAAAGCTGCCAGGAATGCTGACTGGCACACGCATTCGGATCTCTGTTGCCCTGTAAAAGCAGCTTAGTGCAGAGAGGATTACCTGAAAGAGATGCCATCTGCCCTTGGTCATGCAGCTTTCCTCCACGTGGGGTAATTAACTCCTCAGGAAGAGCACAGGTATCATCTCTATTTCATGTATGGCATTTTTTAAATCGCAACATAAATTTGTTCCCAGAAATATATTTCTGCAGACATATTTTTTTCTTTCTTTGAGAAGCAAAATGAGGCAGTAAAGAGTGAGTGCATCAGCCTTACTCAGGTGCATTCCTCAGGCCTAAAACGATCGTTTCTTTTTGAGACGAAAGCCCTCAGGCTTCTGAGCTGTCACACAGATCTTTGCCTTCTGTCTTTGCAGGCTCACTGGTTTGGGCCGTGGGCCGTCCGTGCCCCTGGGCTGTAACGGCCGCATAGGTGCAGCCGTAGATGGCAGCCGCCACCATCATGAGACACACGACCCCGCACACGACCCCGGTGATGATGACGGTGGCCACGGCATGCCGCAGATTGGCCGGCCTGGGCTTGGGCTTGGGCTCACACTGTGCATGGTCTCGGTCCCCTGCCCCGTGGTTCTCAGGAGGCCTGGGGACAGCCGAGCGGGTGGAACCTAGCCCCCCCCTCTGCGAGGACTCCAGGTCCGCAGAAGGAAGTGGGCAGGGCTGGTACAGCTCGTGAGGGATTCTCAGGAGGTCCTCTCCCTTCCAGGCATCCGGCAATGCACAGATGACACTGTCCACTATTCCCCCTTTAAGACACAAAAGCAAAGGGTGATAATAGAGCCTGATACAACTGAATTGCAAAATCCTCAGCCTGCAAAACTTAGGCAGATGGCACTTATACAGCACTTTTTTTTTTTAACCCCTGGAGTCCAAGAACTTAACCGTGTTGTATGATTTTAGGATTTGTAAATTGGCCGAAAGCTGAAAAAGCCCTACACAAAATTGGTGATTATGTGCAATTGAGAATTCATTAGAAGCCAAGTCACCTTTCCCTTATAAATGCTAAGGGAAAAGCAATGCATATGCCCACAGGAAGGGCCGCCAGAGGCCAATCTAAGGACACTGCCACTGACAACATTCCTGACACTCATACCCCTAGAAACCCCGCACGCGGGCATCTACTGTACCAAATCCCCAGAGGAAGTCTACGTGAATAAATAAATCACATGTCCTTTCTTTCAGGGGTACGTGTTCATTTCAAAGACCCTATACGTCCCCTATACTCTTCAGTGCAGCCAAATAGGGAGGTCGGTGCACTTTTGAGAGTTCTGTGTATCTGAAGATTCAACAATAATAGTAGTTTACTTTATGGAATAAAGTATAATTGGTGTGTCTCCTCAGGCCTCAAAACATTTAGCACTTTGAGTATCAAACAGGGTTATTAGACCCTGTTTCTGTTCTCTGTAAGGTGATTGGTATCCTCAGGTATGTAGACTTGTGGCTCAGGGGGATACAGGTACCTAGGAATTATTTTCTAGAAGCACCGAGGTAACAGATTGAATTCTGGCCATATTTGACCACTGGTGCGCTCTTCAATCTCAGACAAGTAAATGTCTCTGACTCAATGTTTTTGCCATAAAAACATCATATTTGTATTGAACTTGATAGTTTGCAAACCGTCATTAGATAAGACCTTTGCACTCCATGTAATGGGTCATTCTTGTCGAAGGCCCCCAGGTCCCGAGTGGGTAGATCGGCACCCAGACCCGTGGTGACCTGTGACCCGGTCCCCATCACTCCCACTACATGCACCACCTCTCTCGGCCTCCTTCTCCTGGGAGCACCCTGCGGTCAGCGCGGGGAACATAGTGACCCTCAGCAGCGCCCTTTGACTGGGCAGGGCCTGCCCCTGGGACCTGTGCCTCAGTTTCCCCTAGCTGCCAGGGACTCTTTCCCCAGGATGGCTGTGAAGCTGGCACTACTCTTAGCCAAGTTAGAGTGGAGATCCTTTGTCCACACCATGGATAAATTATGAAATTACATTAAAAAGTCACTTAGGGGAGGTCATCACTTCATTGTTATTAGAACCTCCCACTGCGCGCACTTTGGCGTTTGGGGAGGAATGCCTTCACATCCTCTCCGTCTGAGCCATGTAAGCCCTACGTGGCCCTGATGGTAGGGGGCATTTTGTGGTACAAGAGTTACAATTGCCTACCTCCTGCTGGGGTCAGTGGCTGTGTGCAAAATTCAGCCCACATCATTCTTGCTGCCACTGCTTGAAACTGAATCTCCTGTGGCCAGAGCCTCTTGGGGACCCCCTGGCTTCCTCAGTGGTCTTCTGGGACTGAGGCACAATATTAAAGCAAAAGGTAGTGGAGGAATTTCCTTCTTCCCTGCGCTGCCATGCAGGAGGCCAGAGGTGCCTGGTGGGGACTCCTGTTGAGCCCAGGGTGCTGCTGGGCTGGGCTGTGCTCGAGGATTCATGACCTGCGGGCCGTTTTGTGCCTCTGCCCAGGAGGTCATTATAAGGTAAAGGCCAGAGAGACAGAAAATGAAGCATGGGCTTTGAGAAGATGTAATTATAGTTCTCACCTGGCCAAAGAGCCCTGAGACCTCCCCAGGGGAAGAGTGCCCACCTGCCCTGCCATGGGACCAGCATTTCCATCAGCCAACTTACACCAAGACTGAGGTTGGCTCACCCCAGCACTCCAGGCTCGAGCACTGTCTTTCTCCAGTTCCAGGCTTTCTGATGTTCAGTGTTAGGATGGGAGGCATGGCCTTGGGACCCAGAGCTGAGAAAATGCACAGGCTGGAGCCTGGGACACAGCTGAGAGGCTGGGGCTGTGGCCACAGGAGCCCATGGCCTCCTGTGCAGCTGTGTCCTCAGCCAGATTCACCTCCTGTCCTTCTACCATCACCTCCTCAGCATGACCTCAGGAATCAAATCGTCGTGAGGGTCCCCTTCCCTTCTAGACTCACGGAAGCCAGCAATGCCAGAAGCTCCAACTTGCCAAGCACATATTATCCCCCATCTGGCCACTGGCAGCTCTTAGCCACCATCTTGGAAGAAACTAAACTCAAATCTTGAGCCTGTCCATTACTTATTTAAATTCTGTTTCTACTATCAGAATATAACCTCCATGATGTAGGGGTTTTCTTGTTCACTGACCTTTTCTCAGTGCCTAGAAAAGTGCCTGACATGTAAGAGTCACTTGAGTACAGAAATGAGTGAATGAATGAATGAATGAATGAATGAATGAATGAAAATCAGGAGGAAAGAAGCACCGTGATGTTGAGGAATGAATATAGGGCCAATATGAAAAGCTGCTCATCCTATTCTTGTTGGTGCTTCTACTCTGTGACCTTGGATAAATCACTGACCATCTCTGGGCCTCTGTTTCCCATTGATAATAGGCTAGCATTGAGTTAAATGGGGTTGGCAAACATTTCCATAAAGAGACAGATAGTTAATATATGAGGCTTTGCCACATAGTCTGTTGCAACTATTCAACTTTGTACTTACAGTGCCAAGAGCCACAGACAGTGGGCATGGATGTCTTCCAATAAAACTTTATTTACAAAAACAGGAGGTGGGCTCCATCTGGCCCTGGGGCTGTGGGTTGCTAACCCGTGGGTGATTTCCAGAGCACCTCATCTTTACTATTCTAGGATCCCTTGGTTCGCTTTTGACATCTGGTTAAAGAAATAGTAACTTTACAAAGGGGCCCTACAGTATCCAATTTCAGGCCCAGTGCTCTTTGCTGCAGCAGAAGGGATAATCTTAGGGAAGATTTACAGCTGTCGAGTGAGTAGAAGCAGACAAAGAGGGGGAACTGTCCCAAGGAGGATGCCATGCCCTCGGACGGATCATGCTTGAGAATCAGAATTGGGTGCTGCTTCAGAGTTTTAGACGTTATTCCAGTGCTGATTGAATTTCCCGCCTTCTTAACATTTCACAGATAAATAACTTAATATTACGATAAATCAGAAAGTGGAAAATTATCTCCATGAATCATGCCTGAATGTAAGCACCCTCCAGTGACCCCCTCGCCTCTTTGCCATACTGAGAAGCATCCGTGTGAAAAAGCTACACCAGCCGTGTGCACACTCCTCAGCCTTCCTCTTGATGCAGACAACAGATGAGGTCCCCCCGAGGCTGGTAACACCACATGGGGGTTTCCAAGCAGACGCTACTGACCTTTGTAGATAAATTTCTCCAGCCAGAGTTTAAGACCGAGCAGCTGGCAATTGCAATTCCAGAGGTTGTCCTTGAGAAATAAAAGCCTCACGCTGGGCATGGCTTCTAGGAGCCCTCGATCGAGCTGCTGAAGCCGGTTTTGCTGAACTGCAAATATGGTCAGATTCTGCCACGGCTCACCCAGGGGTGTGGGAAGGTGGCTCAGGTGGTTTGATGACAGGTCAAGTTCCCTCAGCTGTGGGAGGGGCTGGAAAAGTCTGCTTTCCAGGGAACGCAGGGAGTTCTGGGTTAGGTTTAAGACCTGCAAGTGCTGAAGTCCGTTGAAAACTCCAGGGACTAGGTCTGAAAGGGAGTTGTTGCACAAGTTCAAGGTTGTGAGCTGTGGCACCGAAGTAAATGCAGATGCCGGAAGCCGGTGTATCTGGTTATCTTGCAAGTGCAGCGTTAGAGTCTGAGGAGGCAGATTGGGAGGGACTGTGGCCAGGCCCTGCCGGCGGCAGTCTACAGAATTGGATGCTGGGTGACAGTGGCACTTTTCTGGACAGCCGCACACCACCTGGAGCAGGCAAATCACACTGGCAAGCAGGAGCAGGTCCCCTGTGACAGACAGAAAGAAATGGGGTAGGAGCGGGTTTGTCCAGGATGCCAGCATGCATCCCCTCTTTGAATCACAGGTAATAGAATCTGAGCCAGTGAACACGTCCCACAACCTGAAAGAGAGGTGCTAACATTTACCACCTTTAGGAGAGTCGGCCCAGCCGGGGTACATCCCCTGCACCATGAACTGTTGCAAACTCTGAGCGACTGTCAGAAGCCCGGAAAGAGAACCTTTCCTAGTGGCCCAGGGATCAGAAGATGGAAGATCTAAGAATATCAAATGCAACGGTGGAAAAAGATCTCCTTGGGGATATATGCCCTTCGTAGGGTACAGCAGAATGACCTAGGGCTGCAAGTTTAGAAGAATGTTAGGGAGGTCAGTTTTTCACCTTTCTAAGGAGTGTGTTCCAGATGGGCGCTGCCCCGTAGAGTTTTCTATAATGATGCGCATGATCTCTATCTGCTGTCTGACGTGGTAGCCGTTAGCTACTGCGGCTCCTCAGCTCTTGAACTGTGTGGCTACTGCAGCCAAGGAACTGAATGCTTATTTGCACAATCTAAGTTAATCTAGATTTAAATAGCCACATGGTGCTAGTGGCTACCATATTAGATAGGCAGGTCTAAAGCAAGGCGCACACCCATGTCCATCTTTCCAGGTGTGATAACTAACGTGAATGATGGCTGCCTCGACTCCTTCTTTACTCACGAGATCTTAAAAAATATTAAGAAGCATCGAAATTATCATAAACCCCCATGTTCCTGTAACAGAGTTCTGTCAATCGTTAATAGCTTGTCCTAGCTCATCTCTCATTTTCTTTTAACTCGGAGAAACAGTGCATTACTAATAGAGCAGGATGCCCTTTGATTAGCACCCATCATGTTCCCCAAATGGAACCCCCCACTCCTACTATTAGTGATTCTACTATTAGTGATTCATCATCCCTCCAGGCCCTTTAGAAACAGTGTTTATTAACAACAGTAGCAGAAAATAACCACATCGTACCTGTTTTGAGTCAGGGACCACTGTCAGTGCCTCATATTAATAAAATGAATCCTCATAAGCTGTACATCTGGTTCTGTATTATCCCCATTTTGAAGGCCAGGAAACTGAGGCACAGAAAAGCTAAACCACTTGCCCAAGGTCACACAGACAGTAAGTGGTAGCATCCTGATTTGAACCCAGGAGGTCTGTTCCCAGAGTCTTCCAGGGTCCTTACCTGCTGAACTTTCCTGTTGGTCATGTAACTTTACATACACACACACACACACACACACACAGCACACGCAGGCATATGCTGCATAAGGTTTAGTATAGTGGTTTTTAAAAATCTACATAAGTATCATTGGCTTGTTTCATTCTGCATTTACTATATTCACTCAAAACTGAGCCCTCCATGTAGATATAGAGAGCCCATTAATGAAAGGCTTGTCTTTCTGAGTTTGTGGCCAGTTTATTCATTCTGTCTTCTGTCCCCCTCCCCACCCCGAAGGGGAGCATATATGAGCTCCAGCCTGAAGCTCTGTATCTCCTAGGAGGCGGCCCCTGACATGCCAACTGCATACCTAGTCAAAACTGGGTGCATCTGTCCCCACTACCTTCCCCAGACCCTGCTTGGCACAAACATAAACCCTCCTCTCAGAGACATTGTTTTTATTAGATCTGTTTGGTCTATTGAGAAAGACAACTTGAAAATACGTTTCCCCCAGACCCCTTTCTGGGGAGGCCCTCACACCCCTCTCAGACAGAGGGGGTTCATCACAGCTCACCTGTCATGACGGTGTCTGCAGGCTTCCTCGCTGAGCCCATAGCCCACCTTGATTAATTTCCGGATCAGCAAGCCCAGGGCATGGCACACCCAGGGTCCAGCTTCCCATTCACTTTTTCTGAATCCCACCTGTGTTTTTCTTCAATGCCGAAAACACTTGCTGTTTTCAGGAGCCCCCTTATCTAAGCAAGTCTTCCGCATCTCCATCTGGCCGAATTGTTTGCCCTACGAGGATCATTTGATGGCGTCCCCTCTCCTTTCTTAAGAGTCTTGCCCTCCCCAAGATGGTCCCTGCCTTCTCCATTCAGGCGCTGAGCCACAGGAAGAATGTTTGTCCAACCTCGGTGGACAGCTGTGGCATTCAAACGTGACCCCGGTGGCTGAGGACTTTTGATGATTTAATCGGCTCGAAGTCCAGGGGCACCAAAATAAAACTGCCTTCTTAATCCGATCATGGTTCCTGAATTCTGTTGACTTTTTAACCCTGGTGTGTCAGCCCTCACTGGGCTGGGGACACTTGCTGTGGATCCTCGATCCGGGGGTCTAACAACAGAGCCAGCAGACGGTGTAATATGAGGACAGATTGGCCCGCTGGAGGCTGACAAGGTTTCCCCTGGGCACTTGTTCACTCACCGGAGGCTTATTCAGCCAGCATCCGTGGGGATTAGCTGTGTTGACAGGACCTCGATGCCCTGAAATTCATAGCCACGGTTTCCTTTAGTGCACATCTCACCACTCCCCTGGGGCCTCAGATGATCCTCAGCTACTTTTTGGCTGCCCTCCCCCACCACCACCTCCCCCCCCCCATTGAACTGACCTTCCAGTTCACATGACTGTGGAAATACTTGTCAATCTTTCACCGTTTCCCTGATGCTGACTTCGGGGCCCTGTCCTCATTTTTCAAATATAAAACAATAAAGCCACCCCCGTGAGTGTCAGGCAGCAGTGACCTGTGACTGCTCTGTCACTGAGGCTGGTGGGAACCTTCCCCCCGCCCAGGGTCCGGAGCATTTCTTTGTGCAGATCCCCTGCCATCTGCCGGGCGGGGTGTCTTGCGGGGCCCTGCACCGCCCTGCAGCCCTGCCTTCTGGAGGCGGCGTGAAGGGGCACTGCTGGCCCCCTGCCGTGTGACAAAGCCGTGCGGGTGGGACTGGGAATCGCATAAGTCTGAGCTTGCATTTGGCTTCGACATTCACCAGCTTGATGTCTCTGGGCAAGTGATTGGCATGCTGGGAGCCCGGTGGCCTCATCTCTAGCATGGGGATAGCGATCATCTTTGCCTCACAAGGTTGTCCCCAGGCTGAAATAAAACAGACATGTCATAGCCCAGGATGCTTTAATAAATGTTCCTTCCGGGACTCTCTTCTGCTAGCATTCCAGGGGCAAACTTGACCCGTCAGATGGAGGGGAGGTCCTGGCGGGAAACCAGCAGGCCGGCCCCTCGAGTCTCTCTGGCGGTACAGAGCAGAGAGACCCCTGTGAGTGGAGTCGGAAAACCCCAGTGTGCCCTTCCTCAGTAGTCTGCTGTCTGCGACCCCTTCCCTTCTCGGCCCCCAGGCCCCCAGGACCCCCGTACTCCTCCTGCCCCTTCCTGACAAAACCGCTTCACCCGCCTGCCCACGTGTCTTTCGTCCTGCCCTCCGGCATTCTTCAAGCATTGCAGATACAGGGCGGAAAAGTCAGGTGCAGCTGACAAAGGGCCATCGAAACCTTAATAAGGACTAACTGGTTCTTTCCTTTCTCCTTCCTGTCTATGTCCAAAATTTAATAACAGTTATTCCTTAATGACACATGACCATGACAGCCCATATTTGGCATTCTGTCATTAACACATCTTACTATAACATCTATGAACCTAACATGCACACTGAGAACTAGAACACTGCTAATAACATATACCGACCTGTGTGCCTGTCTTTCTCAGAGGCCGGCAAGTATCTTTTTATAAAGGGCCAGAGAGTAAATATTTCAGACATTGAAGGCCATATGATCTGTTGCAAGTACTGAATGCTGATGTTGTAGCACAGAGCCAGCCTGTGCTGTGAACTAGTGGACATGCCTGGGCTCGAATAAAACTTTATTTGCAAAAAAGTGGGCAGAGGACTGGATTTGCCCAGAGGCCCTAGTTTGCAAACACTCTCTGTCCCCTTCTCTGGCCACTGCTACTTCACCACCTCCAGTCACCCAGCCCGACTCCCACCACCCAGCCGGACATATCCACCACCCTGTCACCTCATCAGAAAATGACAGGCCTGGGGAGGGTGATCTGTAGGTCTCTGTCATGTCTCAGACCTGGTCATTCTGGCCAGAATGCTTAAGTGAGCTTAAAAGGCTCTGTACCTACAGGCTTCAGGGGGCTTGGACAGACAGAATTGCAGAGTATTTTAGGGTTACAGCAGAGCTTTTCAGCTGTACCCTGCAGGGCCCACCTAAGGTCCAAGTCTTGTGGACTCAGACTCCTGAAAAAGATGAACCGGCTGGCAGCCCCACTGGGGTAGGAGGCCGGGACACCTGCGGTTACAGCTGGCTGTGTGCCTCAGTGGACAGTACATTCCCGTGCTGCTTATACCCTGGAGCTTCCTGGTCTTGGGCAAACCCCAGCATTTCTTGGAGCCTCAGGGTCCTCATGTGTAGAATGCAGACAATACCTGCATCACAGAATACAGAAAGATTGAACGGTGTCTGTGAAGTGCACGGCACAGGTCTGGCAGAGCAGATGAGTCAAGTGGCGCATCCTATTAGCAGTGTGTATTCTCGGATCTCAGTGAGTTTGCGCAGGCTGCTCCCACCTAAAATGTGAATACTCTGGGACATGCAGAGAACCCCACAGATTGCAGGTGCCTGGCAGCAGCGGCTTACTGCCCAAAGGGGTTCTTTGGTTCTGTTTTGCTCTTACTGACTAACTGGCAATTCAACGATGGGCAGCGCACACTTGCAAGTCTCTAGGCATTGAAGGGCTCTGGATGTGGAAGCTGTTTGATTTTTTCCACCTGACCTCAGCCCAGAGGTCAGAGGGAAGCTGTGATCCACATACTAATGCAGGCAGCACCTTCTCTCCAGCCCTCCCACGGTGAGCCAGATCTGGGAGGTGGCAAGACAAATGTGCTTGGAGGAGAGGTGCCAAATGTCAGGTCAGACCAAGGCACCCCTGGAGGGGAGGGGCTCCTGGAACCAAGACCTAGTCAGGAGCCTAGCGTGCCACTCGGAAACTTGCTTCAGACACACCCTCTGTGTCCTATGTGGTTGTCACACAGATTCAAGAACTTTCTAGCTTCACTACATTTCATATATTTTATATGTGTATATATGTATATCTTTGTTATATGCTTTTGCCCATTTTAAGTCAGAATGTTTCCTAATATAAATTGGTCTATTTAACATTTCTCCTCCCTCCAAAAAATATCAACAATTATTAACATTTAAAAGTGATGACATCTTGAAATCCAGCGAATATGTAATAGCTCTTACTCCCAGCTAATATTATACAGCTACTTTTAGAGAATAAGTTAGACTGAAATATACCCACCTGGGAAGATATTTCTAATAACTTCTTAGGTTAAAAAAGGCAGTTTGAGGATATTCATAATAACTTATTAGGTTAGAGAAAACAGTTTGAAAAGGTCTGCACATTGTATAATCCCATTTACGTTTGAAAAAAGAAAGCCAGAGGTGGAGAGATTTACCCTAAAAATATGCATTGGTTTGTCTGAAGATGGGATAAGTGGAATGAGATGGAACAGATGGAATAAGACACCAATGTGGTAACAATGATGACCCAGGGAATGGGATCATGTAAGAAGAGGGGTAAATTCACCTTTTTGGTTTATACCATTGCATATTCAACTTATTGCTTCAAGAAATGTGGCCTCTGTAATTTTAAAATACAAAGAGGAAGAGCTGACTTTTGTTCAGTAGCAACTGGAGGTGCCTGGTGTTTACTGGAATATCTAGGATGGCTTATCCTTGTGGGACTAGCTGAGTTATACGTGTAAATATGGCATTCCTACAGCTCACCTCTTCTTATGCTATTAGCCCCAAAAGTGACATTTGTCTTTCCCTGCCAGGCGTTTGCCGCATGTGACCAGACCATACAACCCATGTGAGCATTTCTCTCAGTTTCAATAGCTGCTTTGGTAAAGTCATGGCCAATTGCCCCCACCTGGGCCCCCCGCCCACAGCAGGTGCTTCGGTGTTGTGACATTGGGGGGTGGGAGGGGTGGGGGTGGGCAGCCAGGCTGAGTGACAGCTGTACACAGGCTGGCCTCTGGAGGCCACTGGGGCCACAGGTCCACACAGGAACTTCATTTGGTTACAGAGGAAATTTGGCATTTGGAAAATATTTTCCTGCATTCATGGATGATCAAATTTTACCCAGGTATAAAATTTATACAGAGCTATTTGAAAGACCTCAGTCTAATTTCCTTCCTACCTTCCTTCATTCTTATTTCTTGTTTCTTTTCCTTCTTTTTCTCTATGGCCTCATAAAACATAGCAAGAGAACTAGGCATATATTTTAAGTGGCTATCATATCATTTATTTAGTACTTACCATAGACCAGATATTGCTAAGGATTTATATTAGTTAAATATAAATCCGTAACATAGTATAACTGCCGTAACAAGTAAGCCACAGTCTCTGTGGTTTAACATGACACAAATAAATAACACAACTTACCGCTCTTATCACGGTCTAGTTCAGGTTGACTGGGGCCGGGTTCCATGCCGTCCTTCGGGGTGCAGGCATTGCCGTCTTATCCCTTGCCCTCCTTTCCATCGCTGGCCGATAGTGGGCAGCAAAGAGGCGCAGGCCAGGCCTGGGAGTGGTACTTATCACCACGCTTACATTCCATTGGCCAGAACAGTCACATGACCATACTTAACAGCAGGGGAGCCTGGGAAATTTAATCACCTGGGGTTCTAACTCACGAGTTAGAACCCCAGGTGATTAAATTTGTAGCTTGGTGTCAAAAACAATGGGTTATATACGAAAAGACCTTACGATAGAAAATACATAAAGCTGTAGGTTCTTTAAGTAGTTGAGCTAAGACGGATACTCACAACCCCCATATGTTGGTAATAAGTATGCTGGAGACCTTGGGCATTTTACTAACTTTTCCGTGCCTCAGTTTTATCATTCATTCATTCAACACTGAACATTTATTGAGCGAATCTACTACACGGTATTGTAGAAACTGTGGGAAGAAAGAAAAGGCACCATCTTAAGCTTAGAGGTGAACAGGTTGCTGTCACCTGTAAGTGTGATACTGTAAGTCGTGAGGCCGAGGTTGCTGGTTCTCTGCAGCATCCATGACTCCTCTTCCAAGACACACAGCTAGGCTGCATTTCCCAGGC